TTGTCTATAAATTGCATTCATCTCAAAATAGATCCAAATAATCTAAAATACATTCTATCATTTTTTATCAGAAATATCATGACAAAGTTTTATATTTTTTTTTCTCTCATAAAATGCTATATTTTATTTGGATTGAAGAGAAATTAAAAGACATTTTAATAATTTATACATTGGTTATGAATCTAATAATAATTTTAGTTTTTCTATTTTTTGTTATCACCTCATTACTTCTTAAATTTGAAGCATTCAAACATACCCTTAAACTCCAAGCTATAATAAAGGATTTATTTGAACAACTGATCAACAACCAAGGCATCAGAAAATAAGGGAAAATGATCCTCCCAATAGAGGCTATCAAAACCAATAGTTCCATTGTTAGATCATTCACCAGTTTGGAAGCAAAAAGAAGCACAATTGTATCGCCATTTGCTCCATGGTTAACTAACTTGTGAGTCTGACTTATGAGTGAACTCGAACTCGTAGAATTAAGCTCGAGCTCTAGCTCATGCTCACCTCAACTCATTTTGATCCCTAGTCCCAACATATATATATACACATGATAACAACAACAACATCAAATATTTATCTCACTATATGGGGCCAGCTACATAATTTTTTTTCTCCAGTGTGCTCTATTGAGAGCCAAATTCTCATTTAAATCTAATAAAAAAGATCATTTCTAATATTTTCTAACCAAATCTGTTTAGATATACTCTACATTTTTTTTAGATAAATCTGATCTGATACAACTGTTGTCATAATCCGAATTTTTTTAAATGATTTTTTTAAATGAAAATTTTGAATTTTAGCACCGTGCCTTACCGAAAAGGAGAGAGGGAAGAAAGAGAAGATTGTTCGGGGCTTTTTAATCCTTCAATCTTGGTCAAATATTTCTTATATTTATTGTAAGTAACTCAAATCTCATTTTAGTTTTCAATAATTTTGATTATTATATAGGTTCTTATATTGAATATAATTGATTATTTCCTACTGCAATTTGATTATGAGGCGTTATATCTACTCTCCTAATAGAGCCATCAAATACATTATAAGCATAGTTTGACCAGCAATAAGCTCCAATTGAATGTGTGAAGTAGTTCACAGCTCATAAAAAGCATATCCACCTCACAATGGCTCCATCTAGAAAAATTATTACATCCGGTAAAAATACCGAGCAATACCGAGCATAATGAGCGCGCTGTACCGAGCACTTTAGCCGATGTAGTGTTTTGTTATTAATTTTCGGATGCATTCGATAACCTGACGGAATAATTATTCCTCCATCTAAGGGGTATCATTCATAGTCTGACCAGCAATATGCTTGAACTATAAACTTTTGTTAAATATTGCCAGTTACATCAATGACCATCATTGCACATTTGAATATTATAATATTATTATAATAATAAATTTTAAAATTCTCTCTCTATTGACCATGCACACAAAATGCCAAGAGAGAAATAATTGATATTTTCTATATATTCTATTAAAGGGGACAACCTCACATGCTCATCAAATTTTATTGTTAAGATGGATTTTTTTTTTATAAGATCATATGGATGAATTCTATCTAAAAATTTAATATTAATTCAATGCTTTATTAGATATTTTTCTCATAAGTATACTGAAAAAATAATAATAATAAAACATATTATTTGTATTCTATGCGAGAAATTTTGTGATGATTGAGAGAAAAGTTAACATCTGAGTATTGCAAGAAGAATAAAGATCCTACACGCATATAGATATAAGAAGAGTTGTATGGGATGTACGAGCTTTTGTGTGAAAATTTCAAAAGGTAAAAATGAGAGAGTGTGGCCTAATTGAAATAATTCTACTATAATTAATTTCCTTTTTTGTAATTATGAAAATGTTGATATAATTTAGTAGATGCTAGTTATAAATGGTTGATCATGTGGTGAAAGTTAGGGGTGTCAATTTCGGGTCACGGGTCGGGTTCGGGTCGAACCTGGAACTGACCCGGGTTCAAACGGGTTGACCCTAACCCGACCCGTGAAGACAAACGGGTCGGAAATTCGAAACCGGACCCGACCCGGCGGGTTAACGGGTTGACCCGACCCGGTTGGCTGCTGGCGGACGGTGGACGGCGGCGCGGCGGGCGAGAGCGGGGGCAGGCACCCACCCGGTCATATTCAATCCTACGATCGATGCACACGCGTTCTGGAATTTGAAGTGCTTAATGATGTCAGAATTCTGTGGATCTTGGGCTCGTTTGGAATTTCGTCTCGTCGAGCCTTCGATTCGAGTATATAGCTCGTCAAAATCGGAGACTGTTTGGTAACTCAAATGTGGTTTGAACTTGCGAAGCGCTTTCGGATTATGATTTGCTCATTTGGGGCTCGGATTGGGTCGATGGGTTGGTGTGTTGGATTCGTATTTCCGAGACGCCGTTTTGACTAACTGTCTGAATCGAGATTCGGGAATGCTCCCGAAATTAATTTTTTGAAGTTTCCAACTGTCTTTTGCCTCGAGTTTTTGCCCGAGATTCGGCCTGATCAAGCCTAATTTTGTTGTATACATATCCAAACTCATTTTAAATAGACAAAAAATTTGATACTTAAAATTTTTAAGAATGAATTAAAATAAAAATAATTTGCTTTGCCACGTTGGAAAGCTGAACAATTTTGCTTCCATATTTTTGATTATAATATAAAATAATGAAATAATTAATTTTATTATAATGCTAATTAAGTAACATCTGAAATAATAAAATAATTTATAAATTTCAATAAATATTACATATTATAAACTGAAATGTTGTAATTATTAGTTTATTAGAAGTTTTTTAATTAAAATGTAACAAAATATGATTTAGATGAGAGCAGTCTCCATCATAACTAGAATGCTCCAACTGAACTCCAAATGAAGCCATGATAGTAATTAAAGAGAATAAGAAGCATTTTGGGATAATAAATAGACAATGATGATTCATAATTCATGCTAATAGCAACACCCACTATTGCTTGATTATAATTTCCATCACCATTGCTAGACTTATAGACTCTCAATTATTGTCGCCTAACTACTTCGCAAGCTAGTATCCCACTTGCTACACGAGCAATATCGATATGGTATCGCCAATAAGAACTTATGTGCGCCATCTTCACCAATATATGTTGAACTTTTGTCGGAGCCTTATTTCCTAAAGGAGACGATCAGCATTGTCTCCTGAATATAACTTCATCGCGGCCACAGGATTCTTATAACTTTCACTAGGGTGTGAAAACTCTTGACACGACCCGAAAACCCGACCCGAAAAATCCGGGTCTGACCCGACCCGTTTGATTAAACGGTCGGGTTCGGTTCCACAGATTCGACCCGATTTAAAAAAACGGTCGTTCCGGTTGACCCAGCGGGTTGCCGGTTCAAACCCGCGAACCCGCTTTAATTTCAAAAAATTTTTGAATCCCGCGCATGTCCGCCACGCTGCCCACCGTGCTGCCCGCCGCCTGCCCCGATGCGCTGCCCGCGGAGCCGCCCGTGCTGCCCCAGCGCGCCTCCGCGCCGCTGCCCATGCGCCGCCCCCGCGCTCACGCGCATGCCCGCCGCTGCCTGCCCAGCGC